GGAGACGATAATGCCAGGCACCACCCTGAAGCAGGAGGCATACGGGACTCTGGTATCGTCTGAAATGCACGCGGAAACGATCTAGCAGTTGGTGAGCCTTACATGGAGAGCAGTAGTGTTACGATACTTTGAAGAAGAAATGAGAACCACGCCGAGGATACACGCTCTGATAGCAATACCCTATGTGAGAACAGAGTTACCACTAAAGTTCGCTCGGTGCATGATTGGACTGACTCGCGGGGAATATGATTCGGAAGAAAGAAAAAGATCGTGACGGGAAAAAGTGTTCATAATGACGAGTGTGAGAGATCTGATGACCCAAGAAGGAGCAACAGTAGCGTGCACGAAGCGGAGAGACGCTCTCTGTTTCGTTCGATTTATGATAGAACAAATTTCAGTGCCAGCATTGAACATTTGTGTCAAGATGCTAAGGGAAGGCCGTGAACGAGCGAAAACCTCGCTCTTGCTAGCACTTTTAGACATAAATCAGAGCAAACCCATGCAAACAAACATGAAAGAACCCGTGGAACTAGAACCGATGAAGAAAATAGACGAAATAAGGAGGTTCTCAAACAAGGAATTGAGGCTCACTAAGGAATCCATGGGAGCACTGCCGCGATCCAGTGAATACTCTGGACCGATCAGTAAAGAAATCATACAGTTACGTATCCGGAATCATAGGGATGGCGTACAACCCTTTCCTAAATGAAGACATACGCGATTGCTTCTTTGATTACGAGCAAGCAGTTTTGCTAAGATTCTGGACGTCAAGAATCGCAACGATAGGAAGCGCTGCTAATCAGCAGACCAAGCTGGGACTAGTCTTGGAGGAAAAGATGACTGCATCTTCAGTGCCAAAATCTGACAACATAGTGGAGTTGGGATTGGGATTCTCGGACGAATTGCTGAGAACGAGTTTGATGGTAGTGTGGGAACTAATGAAACCACCCTGGTGTCCGAGTCCCAACGGTGATTCGATATTACGTGCGAAACAAGATGTGCAGAAGGAACTGAACTCAGACTGTAACTTGCGTGACCTGAACTTCATCTATAATTTGATGACGATAGCCTCTAAGAGCAACGGAGAAGACAAGGTAGAATTGCCTGGCTGGGGATCAGAGGACTGGGTCAAAACTGGTAGCTGTCTGGCGGAAGTCTGTGGACTGGAGGGTCACGTTTGTGGAGGTCTGGACTGTGTGAATACCCTGGAGAAACAACACAAGAAATTGACGGTATTGTTTGGAAACGTAGTGATGAAAGCAAGAACAGAGACGGAACTGATAGCAGATTGCCATGGAGGAACCGAGGTGAATCTAGTGACTGCACTAGGATTCTACAGCATGTTTGGTTCTTTAGGGTCACTATTGAATCTAGAACAGAAACATGAGATGGTCACAGCCATCAGTGTAGAAGTATTCCCAGGAGTTCTGCAGACTGAGCAGAAATACATAGGGAAATGGAGGGAAGCAATCGAGACGGAAATGAACATCAGACACAGTGAGACTTATTGTAGACCATCAGGAGCACGATATTTGGTGGGTTCAACATTGGCTCCAATATGCAAGAGCAGATACCCAGTGCATTTCGTAGCGGTGGATGTGAAAAGTACGAGAACGATCGTGGATCAAGCCTTCTCAGTGCCGAAATTCGTAAGACTAGCTAGATTGTCAGAAAAATCTTACGAGTTTTTGTGCAAAATGTTCTCAGCAGTTCCAGAGAGCCCCAAAGAGGAGTTAGAATCGATACTGGGAAAGAAGTTCATGGGATACGCCAGCGGGAACTTCAGTGACTTTGAAAGACAAAAGCAGAAAGGATGAACAGTCACGGATTACAATGCAGTAGATGAGAATGATGAAGTCCACCGAGTGATAATGGAAGTTGAACCACTACTGGAAGCCTCGGGAAAACGTAATTGGAGGAGCATCATGTCAACACATGATGAGTTCTCCTGCCATTGCTTGCTACAAACATGGTGGCACGTCGGGCGTAGTAATCTGGTTTTGATCTGGGACTGTGGAGAGCTGCTCTCCATGGGTTTACCAGATTCATCACAGCCCATAACGATAATGATAGTAGGAATTATGATGGTGATGCGATGGCTGGAAGCTCATGTAAAAGAGAACAACAGACAGGAGGCGCCAACGAAAGAACAATTTCAGGAATTGGATTGTCTTTAAGATTTAGATTTTTTGAGACAATGTGCAAAATCTTGAACGTTACGATGGAAGTGCAAAAGATATGGGCCACAGCACGACTGATGCCATGGTTTAGAGCCAATATGACTGCTTGGTTGTACGAGTATGCTAAGAAGCATATGTCGAAGCACAGCAGAGTGTACACTGCGTATCAGCTGGACATCGGAGCAGGAGCTTTTAAGCGAGCTTTTTTAACTCATCGGAATACTGTAACCACGTGACGTTGTGCCGAAATAGAGAATCTAACGTTGATGCTCTGCCTTGTTGTAAGCAAAGAGTAGAAGAGCCGAAGACTTGGAGGACTGCAAGACACAGAGACTGAAAGTGCGGAGTCAAAGTCGCAGGAGTAGGAGATGGAGCATTGACAAATGGCCGAAAAACAATAACCAAAAAGAAAAAAATTAGAAGAATTTAGAAGTTTTAGAACTTCTAAACGACGAGCAAAGAAGGTAACAAAGAAGCGACGAAAGAGAAGATGTTAAAACTCAAAATTGTTTTGTATGTGACAAAAAACTCAAATGACAAACAAAGCAAGTGAGTTTCCAATTGAAACTGAAAAGAAAAAATTTAATTGAGTTTTAAAGGTTAAAGAATTTGTTGCATTTATAAATTTGCATTTTGATTTTAGTTAGTGGCTTTAGTGGCACTTACTATTTATTTGGAAAGGCTTGAGTGAAGAGTATATTGAAACATTCCATCGTGCATGAATGTTTTTAATCAACTAGGACGACTGATCACTTTGTGGTGACATTAAGGGCTTGGGTAATCTCTTGAAGAGGGAGATTGTTTCATTGTTCCTTCTAACCACCGAGTTTCTTATTTTTAATATTCAGGGCCAGTAACAACTAAATTTCCGAAGCGAAGAAGCATAGTAGGATAATTTTAGGTTGTGGGTTGGCAGGACTGTCCTGCGTTCCTACACTTTTTAAGTCTAGGAAGAAAAAGTTTTCAATCGGGACACAGACATTGGAAGTCAGAAAAGATGTTTTATCTTAAATATATCCTCGAAAAGTGCAGATTGGTGAAAGAATTTGGAAGGCTATATTAGTGTAGTATGATGCCATGTATATTTAGCAGCGAGTCGATATCACGTGGATAAAAGTAACTTTATGCATTTTGTAAATTCTGTTCGATGACACTGTACTATTTTGATGAAGACTACGAGACTAAATAGGGACGTTGACCGGGCTGTCCGGGGAGTATGTGACATTCGACCAGAATGTACGAAAAAATGCAGTTTCGCATTCGAATTTTTATCGACCAGACAAAGAACATCTGACCTGGAAGATTGATGGTTTTAATAGCTTAGCAGCGTTATTTGAGCAATTAGACGAATCGGGAAGGATTGGTTTTAACTGACATGCTATTTTTAAAAATTTCGATTTGGACGTGAATGAAACGTAACCTTTTTAAATTTCGCACACACTGAAACGGCGAAACAGAACAACAATAGTAGCAGTGAAAACAACTAAGAGAAAACGACAACAGATTGAAACTGTGATTGGAATTTGTCGGGAACCATTCCAAGTTGTAACGATTGTGCCGCTACAATCGTTACAACGTAGAACCCGAGAACAATGAAGGGTGTTGGGATGGCGTGTCCAGCCTTCCTTAAAGAAATAAGGACGTTTTTTCCCGGATTCCAGAATCCGGAGGGGTCTCGGGCCCAAGACTCAAACTGTTATAAATTAATTTTTAGCTTCCTGGTCATGTCCTGAGTTGAATTTAATTAACATCCCGATTCATTTTCAGAGAATGAGAAGCTAGGATTGAGGGATAGGGTTGATCCATCTTCGATGGAGATGACGATTTTTATCTACTGAATAAAAACAATAGTAATATAATTAATAGTAGTGGACCTGTTTTTAGGAGTGACCTCGTGGTATGGGGACACTGAGACCCAGCCATGAGCTCACTATTTTTGCGTATAATCAAGTTAATTTGAGTGTTTTGAACGAAGCCGGAAACAGTAACGTTTTGTCGACCCGATGTTAGAAAGACCACCAAAGGAACTGGCTTCGGCAGAGACGGTGAAAAGCCTGTAGAGCTGCGTTTAGACGCTAGCCAGTCGTTTTTGAACCTAGCTTTATTTTCCGTCGATATGTACTTCCGGGCTAATGTTACAAAGCATGTCTTATCTGGGACGCGACGGTTGTGGACGCGATCACCCCGAGCAGGATTTCTAACAACCCTTGCCAGTTCTCAGCAGCTACCGAAGCAGAAGTGAAAAAAACCTCTAAATACTCGGAATTTATTAACAGAGGTTGTATCTTTGCTCTGGTGGCCTTTGAAGTACAAGGTCGTTGTGGACCTGTCACGTACAGTTTCCTACGCGCGCTTGGTAAATGTCTATCGGCTGCTACACAAGAACCTAAGTCGACACTTTACATTAAGCAGCGTATCTCTGTGCCTCTACAGGTTGGTAACAGTGCTTCTGTTCTGGGCACACATGACACATTATCTCGTGTCGAGTTGCGTGTTCTATTGAAGAAACGTAACCCGTATCGATTTTAATTGAAAAGGACTTAAACACTAGAAGCTAGTGACGGACCCGACGAACTTTTTTATTTGTTGAGATAATTCAAGCGTTTCCTCATGTTTTCAACACCTTCCTCGCTCCCAAGAACAGATCATTATTGTATAAAGTCGGATATATTTTTATATTTTTGTAAATATCGCTTGTTGATTAATTCCGATTCTCCATTGCACGGTAACCGGCTATCCTTGTTTTCAATTGCTAACGATATAATTCTTCTTTCAAATTATGTTCAATGTATCATAAATGATTCCTCATGTTTATTATAGTTAAGATGTCAACTGAGCCATTGAATGTCTGTGTAACCGGTGCGGCCGGCCAGATCGCGTACTCTTTGATTTATATAGTCGCAAAAGGAGAGGTTTTCGGAAAAGATCAGCCAATCAATCTTATACTACTTGATATACAACCGATGATGGGTGTTCTCGAGGGTGTCGTGATGGAAATTCAAGACTGCGCGTTTCCCTTGGTGAAAGGTGATTGATTTATTTTTCCCAGGTGGACATTAAGTGAGGTATAGAAATTGTAAAGCCTGGTGGTTGGTTGCTTTTTCTATTAAACACATTTAAACCAAGCTGATATAGAGAGTTGCAAAAAGTTCGGACAGACAGAATTAATTAAAAAGAGCAACTGCCTAGACATCAGCGGAAATAAAAACTGAAATATACATAACGTCGAAAGTTTATAAAGCAGAGTATCACTCAAAACTTATAACCACGGCGGGCAACTGTTTCAGAAGCGGCGAATAGTATGCCTTGAAACAGGAAAATTATTGCAAAAGTGGCTAAAGTTTTTCTAAATTTTGAATGATTCGATCATTGTTTCCGTTTAGGAGCGCCCTAACCTGTTTTTTTTTTGTTCAAAATAACTCTAGATTTTGATTTTTAAACTAATTTCGCTAACTATTTTTTAGTAAATCTGGATGTTGATCGCAGTATTTAAAAATTAGGCTAGCATAATCATCGGATAATCGACGATCTTGCTTTTCGAATTTGGTCTGACAAAAAGTTCAAGGTTGTCCGGCTTCAGATTTTGCATGCAAAAAAGCGTCGAAAAGCACTGATTGCTCATTTTAATTAATTCTGTCTGTCCGAACTTTTTGCTACTAATTATACGTTTGCAGAATTAATATGTTTTTGTTGGTTCGAAAAAAGGATCTCTATACAAAAGTTCTATACCCCTCACTGATTTTCTTCATTGGTATAGTGTGAGGGGGCTAAAATGGGAGAGACCCTCTTCTATTGTTGAACCAAAAAAGGTTATCGATTTTGTAAGTTTATCTGCTTGGGTTTAATGTGTTTAAGCCAAATCACAGATTACTGAGATAATACAAATACCAGCAAACTTCCCTCCCAAATCTGAAATTTTGGATTCAACGGATAGAACAGGTTGTAGGAAGCTCCCCTGCATCAGCGGCTACGACCAAATTTATGTATACTAAAACTTATGGCCCTCAGAAAAGTCAAATTTTCGATTTTTGACCGGTTTTTAAAACTTTTTGGCCTTTCTCAAAAACTACTCTCCCAAATCTGAGATTATAGTTTCAATAGGTAGAACGGGTTGTGGGAAGCTCCCCTGAATATGCGACTACGCCCATTTTTATAATACAAAAATACTGACTCCGAAAAGTCCATTTTTCGACTGTTTTTTGAAACTTTTTGGCTGTTCTCGAAAACGACCCTCCCAAATCTGAGATTTGGTTTTAATGGGTAGAAAGGGGTGTGGGAAGTTACCCTGCATAAGCGACTACGCCCTTTTTTATACAAAAAATAATGACTCTCGGAAAAGTCAATTCTTCGATTTTTTTTAACCTTTTTTGAAATTTTTTGGTTTTTTTAGAAAACTATCCTCTCAAATCTGAGATTTTGGTGTTAATGGGTAGAACGGGCTGTTGGAAATTTCACTGCATAAATGACTACGCCCATTTTATTAGTGCAAAAAGAATGACCCTCGGAAAAGTCAATTCTTCGATTTTTTTACTTTTTTTTGAAGTTTTTTGATTTTTCTAGAAAACTACTCTCCCAAATCTGAGATTTTGGTTTTAATGGGTAGAACGGGCTGTGGGATTTTTCACTGCATAAGTGACTACGCCCATTTTTTTTGTACAAAAATTAATGACTTTCGAAAAAGTCGATTTTTTGACAGTTTTTTGAAACTCATTGACTTTTCTCGAAAACTACTCTTCCAAATCTTGGGTTTTGGTTTCATATGGGTTAGAACAAATTGTGGAAAGTCCTATGCAGAAGCGGTGACATGGCTGATTTTTTCACACGCTGAATTATTTTGAGAACTGTCTCTAAATCTTTTACTACTACTACTACTACTACTACTACTGTTGTACTTTGTTAGACGGGGTGAAAAATCAAAATGCATTCGTTGATGTCAATCTTACTATTAATTCTTTGCCTGGTTTAGTTTTGGCTTGAAGACTGTTTTCGTCTCCAACGGCAAGTTTTTATGCTGAGTTTCATTAAAAAAAAATTTTTGATGAGTTTCAATTTGAAAGTTTGTGTTTCAATTTAAAAATTTTAAACGAATTATTTATTCCATCTTTTCTCAAATTTTTCCCTGACAATTTTTTGTTGGTCGAAATTAAAGTCCAAAAAAAGCTGTTTTCGTTCCGCCCGTTCGAGCCGTGATACCGTCAATGGTGTCGAGCAAGTTTTTTTGAGTGACTCCCTATCTTGGTTGTCAAACAGGTGTTTCCAGCTTTAGCTGGCTTCTAGTATTTTGTTTTGCTATCTGATGCAAAAGCTTTAACTGGTCTGTAGTATTTTGTTTTGCTAAATGATGCAAAATATCATGCATTTTGATATACTTCGCACGGAAGAAGTAAAATTTATCATACTTTCAACCAGTAGTGAAAAAAATCGGATTTATATGAAAAACCAATTTACTTGATTTCTTAGGTGTGAGTCTGGTTTTTATGCAGCCATACACCCATGTTATAAGAAAAATGAAAAGTATTAAGAGATTGTGTTCAGTACTTCACACAAATTTATGTCATGGGGACACATTTCTTAATAAGTACCATTTATTGTTTCTCCAATAATTTAAATTAGTGTCGAAAAAATGTGGAAAAACTAAATTCTAGTAGATGTAGTAGTATAAATGTTGTAGATGTCGTGGCAACTGCTGATCCTATGGTCGGGTTCAAAGATTGTGATTCAGTTTTCATGCTGGGAGCGATGCCTCGAAGGGAAGGTATGGAGAGGAAAGATCTCTTAAAGGCAAACTGCAAGATTTTTGAGGCCCAGGGAGCTGCCCTGGATAAAGTTGCCAAGAAAACTGTCAAGGTGAATACAATTTTAAACTTTGTTTTTTTTTGCTATCTTATCAGCGTTGCCAGGCAAATATCACGTGGCTGTTTTAGCTCCCAAATCAAATCGCATGTTCCTAAAATCTTTCTTTTTCATAGAGTAACAATCGGAGCTTTTTCGAAGGCATATATTTTTAAATTTGTTGTAATAAGAAAGCACGAAAAGCTTATTTTTGTAGATAGATTTTTGCAGATGCGAGCTTGCAAGTGTAAACATATGTCAATTAATCTCCACAATGTCGACCAAATCTAAAAATTGTGATGAAAAGTTTTGTGCAAAGTTGATGCGTTAATTGCACAGCAAATGATCTAGTTCGATTTTTTTAAATCAAATCGCAGTCTTTGTCACCTCAAAGCCATGAAGCTTTTTGAAGATATGATTTTCATTTCCATTCTGTTTTTTATAACTCAAGCAAGCGCTAGTAGCTTAATACGAGTCTATATTGTTTTGTTTTAAATTCAAGCAAGAGCTTCTAGCTTAATACGAGTTTTCTAAATTAACACTTGCGAGCTTAGTGTATACGTTGAACTCAACTTTTTTTCAACCTCTTTGCGACTTTATAGCCTTGAAGGTTTTTGAAGATATGAGTTCGAATTCCCTTCTGCTTTTTTATAACTCAAGCAAGCGCTAGTAGCTTAATACGAGTCCATTCTGTTTTTTTTTAACTCAAGCAAGCGCTTGTAGCTTAATACGAGTCCATTCTGTTTTTTAACTCAAGCAAGCGCTTGGAGCTTAATTCGAGGAAATTTCTTTGTATCTGTTCTCTGTTTTTTTTTGTTTGATATTTACAGATCGTTAAACGTCCTTGGCTGAAAGGTAAGCTTGTGAGGCTCTAAATCTTGACCTCGCAGATTCGAATCCGACATCTATCAAAAGTTTTAGTAATTTGAAGCTTATTTCTACTGTTTCTTATTTCCCTTTATGGAGCTGCTTTTTGTTGTCTTTTCTTGATAGTGTTTGGGTCACATGCGTGCGTCACGTATCTCGCCATCGCTAAGCCAATTCAGCGTATAGTTTTGCATGTTTAGGCAAAGAATTTTTAAACATGGAAAAGTCTATAATGTTGCGAAGCTTAAGAAATATTGCGATTTTCCGGTTCATGATTGCAAGGCATGGCGCAGCTAAAGGCAAAGCAGCGCAAGGCAAAGCAGGGCAGCACAAAGGTATAAAATGCATTGCATTGCAGAACCACGATGGCATGGCAGGTCAGCGCAAGCTAGTGCAAGATGAGGTTGAACAGCGCAAGGAAGCTTGGTAATGGATAGACAGATGAATCCAGCCAGACAGTTATCCATCGATCTATCCATCCAACCATTCCTTCAGCCATCTAACTTGCTATTTATCCACCCAATCCGCCATTTGTCCAGTTATTCATGCATCTATTTATTCATTCATCCATCTAGCCATGCATTCATCCAACCAGCCATCTATCCATCCTACCAGCCATTCATTCGTCTAACCAGCCATTTTTTTATTCAACCAGCCAGCTTCTTCTAAGCCATCCAATCAGCTATCTATCTTTCCATCTATTCATACAGCCATCTATCCACCCATCGAGGCATCTAACCATCCATGCACCTAATCATCGGTGATCAATCCATGAATCTAGTCATCGGTCATCAATCCATGCGTCTAGTCATTGGTCATCAAGCATCCATCAAACCATTTTTCTATCGATCGAGGCCGTTTCCTGTCTAGCCATCTGGCCATCCACCATCTGTGTATCCATCAATTCATCATATGTTCCATCTATCAAGCCTTCCATCCATCTAGCTGACCGTCGTCCCTCGAAGCAACCATCCATCCGTCACTATAGCTATTCAACCTCCAAGCCAGCCATGCAACCGTTCATCTATCCATCCATACATCAAGCCATATATCATCAATCCATCCAATTCGAAGGCTTTTCTTTTCCCTTCCGTAACAAAGGGAGCTTTTTTGATGGTGTATATATATTGCAATTTATTCAAATTAAAAAGCACAATAAGTTTAATTTCGTAGATAGATTATTGCAAGTGTATTTAAAAAAAAAAATTTCCGACCTAAGTTTAACATAGTGCTGAAAAGTTTTGTGCAAAGTTGATGCATTAATTGCACAGCAAATGATATAGTTTGGTTTTTTTCATCAAATCGCAGTCTTTGCCACCTCAAAGCCATGAAGCTTTTTGAAGATATGATTTTCTTTTCCATTCTGTTTTTTATAACTCAAGCAAGCGCTAGTAGCTTAATACGAGTCTATATTGTTTTGTTTTAAATTCAAGGAAGAGCTTCTAGCTTAATACGAGTTTTATATATTAACACTTGCGAGCTTAGTGTATAAGTTGAACTCAACTTTTTTTCAACCTAATTCGCAAATAAAAATTCTCATTTGTTTCTTTAATCAAGATCTGTAGCATTGGAAATTTCCTTGTATCTGTTCTCTATTTTATTTTGATTGGTTTTTACAGATCGTTAAACGTCCTTGGCCGAGAGGTAAGCTTGTGAGGCTCTAATTCTTGACCTCGCAGATTTGAATCCGACATCTATCAAAAGTTTTACTAATTTGAAGCTTATTTCTACTGTTTCTTATTTCCCTTTATGGAGCTGCTTTTTGTTGTCTTTTCTTGATAGTGTTTGGGTCACATGCGTGCGTCACGTATCTCGTCATCGCTAAGCCAATTCAGCGTATAGTTTTGCATGTTTAGGCAAAGAATTTTTAAACATGGAAAAGTCTATAATGTTGCGAAGCTTAAGAAATATTGCGATTTTCCGGTTCATGATTGCAAGGCATGGCGCAGCTAAAGGCAAAGCAGCGCAAGGCAAAGCAGGGCAGCACAAAGGTATAAAATGCATTGCATTGCAGAACCACGATGGCATGGCAGGTCAGCGCAAGCTAGTGCAAGATGAGGTTGAACAGCGCAAGGAAGCTTGGTAATGGATAGACAGATGAATCCAGCCAGACAGTTATCCATCGATCTATCCATCCAACCATTCCTTCAGCCATCTAACTTGCTATTTATCCACCCAATCCGCCATTTGTCCAGTTATTCATGCATCTATTTATTCATTCATCCATCTAGCCATGCATTCATCCAACCAGCCATCTATCCATCCTACCAGCCATTCATTCGTCTAACCAGCCATTTTTTTATTCAACCAGCCAGCTTCTTCTAAGCCATCCAATCAGCTATCTATCTTTCCATCTATTCATACAGCCATCTATCCACCCATCGAGGCATCTAACCATCCATGCACCTAATCATCGGTGATCAATCCATGAATCTAGTCATCGGTCATCAATCCATGCGTCTAGTCATTGGTCATCAAGCATCCATCAAACCATTTTTCTATCGATCGAGGCCGTTTCCTGTCTAGCCATCTGGCCATCCACCATCTGTGTATCCATCAATTCATCATATGTTCCATCTATCAAGCCTTCCATCCATCTAGCTGACCGTCGTCCCTCGAAGCAACCATCCATCCGTCACTATAGCTATTCAACCTCCAAGCCAGCCATGCAACCGTTCATCTATCCATCCATACATCAAGCCATATATCATCAATCCATCCAATTCGAAGGCTTTTCTTTTCCCTTCCGTAACAAAGGGAGCTTTTTTGATGGTGTATATATATTGCAATTTATTCAAATTAAAAAGCACAATAAGTTTAATTTCGTAGATAGATTATTGCAAGTGTATTTAAAAAAAAAAATTTCCGACCTAAGTTTAACATAGTGCTGAAAAGTTTTGTGCAAAGTTGATGCATTAATTGCACAGCAAATGATATAGTTTGGTTTTTTTCATCAAATCGCAGTCTTTGCCACCTCAAAGCCATGAAGCTTTTTGAAGATATGATTTTCTTTTCCATTCTGTTTTTTATAACTCAAGCAAGCGCTAGTAGCTTAATACGAGTCTATATTGTTTTGTTTTAAATTCAAGGAAGAGCTTCTAGCTTAATACGAGTTTTATATATTAACACTTGCGAGCTTAGTGTATAAGTTGAACTCAACTTTTTTTCAACCTAATTCGCAAATAAAAATTCTCATTTGTTTCTTTAATCAAGATCTGTAGCATTGGAAATTTCCTTGTATCTGTTCTCTATTTTATTTTGATTGGTTTTTACAGATCGTTAAACGTCCTTGGCCGAGAGGTAAGCTTGTGAGGCTCTAATTCTTGACCTCGCAGATTTGAATCCGACATCTATCAAAAGTTTTACTAATTTGAAGCTTATTTCTACTTTTTCTCATTTCCCTTTATGGAGCTGCTTTTTGTTTTCTTTTATTGATAGTGTTTGGGTCATATGCGTCCGTCACGTATCTCGCCATGGTTAAGCCAATTCAACGTATAATTTTGCATATTTAGGCAAAGAATTTTTAAACATGAAAAAGTCTAATGTTGCAATGCTTAAGAAACATTGCGATTTTCCGGTTCATGATTGCAAGGCATGGCACAGCTTAAAGCAAAGCAGGGCAGTACAATGCAAGACAAGGCAGTGCATTGCATGACTACGATGGGACGGCATGGCAGGTCAGCGCAAGCTAGTGTAAGATGAGGCAGAACAGCACAAGGAAGCTACGATAATGGATGGATAGATGAATCCAGCCAGACAGTTATCCAATTATCCATCGATCGATCTATCCAACCATTCATTCAACCATCTAACCTGCCATTTATTCACCCAATCCGACATTTATTCATCCAGTTATTCATTCATCTATCTAGTTATTCATTCATCCATCTATTCATCCAACCAGCCATCTATCCATCCTGCCAGCCATTCATCCGCCTAACTAGCCTTTTTTTATCCAACCAGCCAGCTTCTTCTAAGCCAAATTTATACGTATACTATATAACATACTATATAACATATATTTACTACCAAGGGGAGTGTGGTACAGCACATATTGCATGTGCAGTAATCATGTTAACCTCGCTGCACACTAACCTTGGAACGCATATCGGTATCTGTAGTTATATATATTGTTATTAATCTTAAGTCAAGGTCATGCAGTGTTGATCGCTGTTTAGACTTTAGTTGTTAAGCTCTGCGTACGATGATACGTCTAACTGAGCTGGTTCACGGAACCGCATATTGCTAGAGAAAACAAAGTTTCAGATAAAACTAAACTCTTGAAAATATATCATTTTCAACTGAGCTTACAGCATTACATTACCCTACCACACAGTGACAAGAAAAACTGTTGTTGTTTTTGGTCTAACTTCGAGGACTAAATTTGGACTAAATTTGGTTTTAAATGTCACATTAGGATATTTTGCGATTATGTAGCGCTACTTCTCTTCACTTATTAGGTCCTCTCGAGATTTGTTATTTTTTGTTTCTTTATTTTTAATGTTTTGCTTAATGTCTGTCAAAATCCTACGAAATTGAGGAAGTCATTTTTTTCGAATAAGTTTTCAGTTTGCAATAATTGTGTTTTGTATGTTTCGCCTCCTTGTGAAATTTGAAGTGTTTATTGGTTATTGTTTTTTCTTGGCTTATAGAAGAGTTAGGTTATAAATTTAGTATAGATTCGAAGAATTCAGAGGCACATGTTAATTTTTTGCTTTTTTGAAAACAATTATGAACCATTGATGATTTTGATGATATATTTAGTTAGATTTTCGTGAAATTTATTATATGAATAATTATCAGGTTCTAGTAGTGGGCAACCCTGCCAACACCAACGCCCTGATCTGCTCCACTTATGCGCCCTCCATCCCTAAGGAGAACATCACAGCAATGACACGGCTGGACCAAAACCGAGCGACAGGCCAGGTCAGTAATTCTTGATTAAACCTTGAAAATATTCCTCGGTTTGATAGTTCAAATACCACCAGGATTGTCCTCTGGTTATGCAGTATTTGTCAGTCTTAGGTATTTGTTATCTTTGTAATCTGTCAACGAGGGTGTGTTTTGACTCAAGTTAAAATTAGCTTAGCTAGATTAAGATATAATAATGTTATCAAACTGAAGCTCGAATTTTAAATGGTTAAAATTGAAGTTGAATATGAGAAAACCATGCTCATTCGTGTCACTGAAAGCAATGAATGGTCTTAGTTATCAAATCCAAATCTCCTACTTTAACATTGCAATTGTGTGCGTAAATACGTTTTGGCAGTCTTGAAGTTTGGTTCGGCGGCAATTCGTTTCAAGCGACAACTCTTAACTGGTCGCAGTTCGTAATTCTATAAAAGGCGACAATTCGTAACAACCGACTATTCGTGCCCTGCGGAATTTTGTATGAATGTTGTTTGATGACCAGCAATTCAAATAAACAACAAAATAGAATGCAAGGAAATCGAAGTTAACAAAGGTACGATTAATCGCTTATAGCAAATTGTCGCCATTTACGAATCTTCACCTGATACGAATTGTCGCCTCACGTTTAGTTTAGCCTCTAAAAGCACTCAGAATCAAATTAGGTTTTGAGATGTTTTCGCGATAGTTAAAATTTGAGTTTTGTTGTTCAGGTAGCGGCTAAAATTGGCGTGACATGTGACTCTGTCAAAAACATGATCATCTGGGGCAACCACTCGGGAACCCAGTTCCCTGACGCCGCGCACGCCACGGCAACAGTCAACGGGGAGTCGATGTCTGTCTACAAGGCAGTCAATGACGACAACTACCTCAAAACTGACTTCGTATCTACAATTCAGCAGAGAGGAGCTGCGGTCATTAAGGTAGGTTTGGTTTACAGTCAGTGGCGAGAAAAGTCGGGAAAATGTGCAAAAAGAGACAATGAAATTGATCAGCTCTCCTGGTAATTGCTTAAAATGGGTGACATTTTTTCAGCTAAGTTTTTTCTTTTTACTTTGCTGTAAACTAACTAAAGGATCTTGTTAACTATCCCCCCTTTTGCACTTTGTTAACTATTCCCCCCTCCCTATGCATTATTATTTTTGACAACCATTTCTGTATAAAATATGCATTTCAAAAATGTCAACAATTAAGTGGGTTTTCATTTTCGCGCATTAGTTTTTGTTTTACTCACGATTATATAATCCCCACGTAAAATTTTTTAAGTATATATATTTTCTGAAAATTGTTTTTAAGCCATTGAAAATGTGGCTGCCAAAGTTGAATTTCTGAAAATCGAAATAAGGGGAGGAAATAGTTAACAAGATCCCTAACTAAAATTCATAATGCAGCTCAACCTAAATCGCAAATATTGTTACGATGCAAATATTGTTGCGATAAAATGTGTTCATTTTGATCAATCCTTAGCATTGAGCTATTAAGTACAGCCAATGTTAAAGATTTTAACACAGACTATTATTGTTCCGACTTTCGTGACGAAAGTAACGGAGTATTTGTGCTCGGGGTGGTTTTTTTCAGACAAACTTCGACTTTTTAACGAGCCATTTCCGATCGGATTTTTTTTATATCATTCAAAAAATATTGTTGTCCTGAGCTTGAATTTGGAAAGATATTTTACCTGTGATTATTTTTCGTAAAGTTATGGGAGTTTAAAAATTTGGGACAATTAACGCGCGATATTTTTCGCGCAATTAACGCGTAAACGGAGATTTAATCTGTCAATAGAAACTGTTCCAAATTGGTTGAAGGAAGCTTATTTGCCATTTGGGACAATTAACGCGCGATATTTTTCGCGCAATTAACGCGTAAACGGAGATTTAATCTGTCAATAGAAACTGTTCCAAATTGGTTGAAGGAAGCTTATTTGCCATAATTGATTGATTTGTTACCAGGAGCGAAATTTATCCTTTTGTAGTTAATATGGCGTGTGGGGAGACGATTTTCACAAAAAACCTCAAATAGAAAAAAAATTCATTTTATTTTCATTACATATAATTTTTTCATGTTATTACTGCTCCATAGACTGCCCTATAAAATCAGACATGTTAATTGGTAAATATCTTTTTTTATTTCAAAATGACTGGTTCTGCTAATGCGTCATAATGGGCGTGCGTTACTTGAGAAATTTTGAAGACTCAAAGTTTTCGTGTCTGTACAAAACAGTCCCATACAAAACAGTCCATAATACAAAGCAGTCCGGAAAAGTATGAAAATTTACAAAAAACAGTCCGATACAAAACAGTCCGAAACAAAACAGTCCGAAAAATGGTCCCAAGTAAAAATTGTTTTAACAAGCGCGGCAGGCAGAGAATTTTCCGTTGTTCTACAAAAGTAATGAACAAAATAATGACCGCCGCAGTCGCGCCAGCGTGTTACGAACTTGCCAACAGAGGGTATGACTTAATACGAAATTTAGACCCGGTTATCGCGGCGACGCGCGAGCGACCATCGGCGACCTTAAACCGGACTGTTTCGTATTGGACCGTTTTTTCCTCCTACATGATTTTTCGGACTATTTTGTATTGGACTGTTTTGTATGGGACTGTTTTGTATATGCACCAAAGTTTTACTCATTCAGTTTTTCCCAGTAGCGTTATCGTTCATATTTTTGCTTGTGTATGCGAAGTGCAACTTCGCCTCTGTGTTAATACATACTTATCAATTGATCCGTTTCATCCATCAAATTTCGATTGTAATTTAACAGCTATTACTTAGCGAATAAATTGTTATACGAGTTAATTTATGTAAAGTGCGCCTGGTATACGTAAATTTGTAGGTGACTTTTTAAATATCTTAAGGCTCGTAAGCTGAGCAGCGCCATGTCGGCAGCTAAGGCGGCCTGTGATCACATGAGGGACTGGTGGATGGGAACCCCTGAGGGCGAGTATGTGTCCATGGCCGTCTACTCTGCTAAGAACAGTTATGGCATTGATGAGAACCTCATGTTCAGTTTCCCATGCACCGTCAAGGACAAGACTTGGACCATTGTCAGCGTTAGTATTCTGAGCTTGGTTAAACTGAGATCACATGCTGCTAGATCGGAAATTCTTGATAAGTGGTGTTCTATCGGAATTTATCGACTGCCACAGCCTATTTTCAATTCGGGTTTCGTCACTATAAAACCGTATTTCAATTTTAACTGCCATGATCTTACGTTCAAAATTGATATTTAAGCTCAAGTAAAGCAAGTCATTCGAGATGTAAATGAAGCTGAAAAGCACTCAGAACCTTTGCTATAAATTGATTTTCATCTCGTTTATGACTGCGTTTAGGGGCTGACGAACGACTTCACAGCTGAGAAGCTGAAGATCACGGAAGATGAGTTGAAAGGGGAACGTGAGATGGCACTTGGAGCCAGTGTTTGACTTCGCGCTCATCCCGACCCCATAACTAGTTCTAACCCTACACCGAACAAAACTATTAGCCGGCTGTGAAGGTTGTTACCATTTTCAGTTCCTTCCAACAGTCATCAATTAAATGCCTTGCGACTTCTATTGATTTGCAAATTGAATAAAACTCTATATACTTGGGTAACATGGGTTTGAAAGAATTTCCTGCACTTTATAACCAATGATGATGTTTGTACGGGTCTAGTACATAGTTGTGCTGATATGTATTGAAATTTCATTACACTGATAAACTGAACTTAAATTGTACAAAAAACTTAATTTAAATGCCTTTGAAAATGCATTTGAGTTGAATTTACATATTGTATTGATTTTTTTCGCGCGTGTCGAAGCTGAAGTTTTATGTAAGGTTGAAGCAGTTTTGTTCAGTGCTGAATACAAGAAAAGTTTGGGGAAAAGTGTACTCCAAAGAAGCTCGAAGTTTTTATTAAAAGCGTTTCTACTCAAATCAAATGATATTTTTTATTCTGCTGCACAACAGATGACTGGTTGATTAATATGACTGGATACTTTTTGTAACGACTACTCTGGAAGAGTCGGAAGTAATAATGGCGTAGGGTGGGTTTTCGATTCGCACGTTTTCAGGTTGCCTCATAACCCTTTTAGCCTTCATTTCGATTGTTTCGACCTCACAATTTACTGCTACAGGATAGTGTATCTGATGATTAACTTCGAATCTTATTACACAAGCTATGCTGTGATTCAATCCTGAGTGAATTAAGCAACGATAAAATGCATTTTACTTATTTAGGTTGTGTGGGTTTTATAGGTTTTTTTCAGGATTATGTTCACGCTGAATTTAGGAACCAGTTCTAAACTAGTATTTATAGACCAATTATATTTATGATGGAATATCACTTTAAAATATTTATAACTTATCAATCATATTCCATCTCTAACATTTACACTTATTTGTAAGTGCTGAAACTACTTGTAGTTTCAGCACCAGAACAATTTAAATAAAACTTAGAATACAGTTGTTCTCCTTCTGGCAACTAACTCGCTTAAACCAGTATAAACTAGATCTATTGAGACTAGGAGATATAAGAGTAAGATTAAGATCGGTATTCGACTAAGAAGAGTTGCACGAATCTATCCGGCCGAAAATAAGATAGCGTGACGAGCAGACGGTGTACCTTATCTGAAATTGCTCTGAGTACAGTCACTAGTACTTAACTCGTTTTATATAGTAGGGTTTGACTTGTGATAATTTTAAGTCCACTTCAAATTCATATTATAAATGGAAATAAACTACGTTATCCAATCAAAAAATTGAAAATGTCGCAAAAAAACGAATTACTTGATAGTTTCATGAATAGATTTTTTTTGGGAAATCAAAAAGGAAAATATAGATCCTGTGTTCTTTAAATGCCCGCTTTTTTTAAACTGAGAATCTTTTTGACTATTTCAGTAGATATGTGCTCCATCCGCTTAGTGAAAGCTCATACAATGCCGTCGAGTTTTGGAAGTCAGGAATTGAGGCAGGATGGCACTGACCAAGTCTAGCGCCGCTTTTTGCATTTTAAAGCTTGTTTTTGATACTTAAAAAAAACCGACTTGCAGCCCCGTCATTGCGTCTTTTGATTGATCCGCTCGCCAGAACAATAGACATGTTATCGGGAATAAGTCTTTTTCCTGTAATAATTTTTCCCACAAATCTGAAAGAAATGGGACTTGCTCTATTAGGGGTCCTAAACAACTCCCAGACACATTCCCTCTTGGTCTAGGTGGAACCTTAGGTCTTTACCGATATGTATGAAATGGAGAAGTTTTTGCTACAGCTTGTCAGATGATTGTTTGTCTGCTTATTTTTGCTAGACTTTTTTTCCGCAAAGCATGGAGTTTTCTCGTTCATAAAACTTTTGATATAATTGAAAATTGTTCTGTATTTTGCATTGTTACCAAATATGATTTGGGATAAGTTTCTTTTTAGTTTCGTTTTTTTATAGCTCTAAATGTATCGGCCTATTTCATATTGCCTTAATCACATTCTATTTCATTTTCAAATTTTTTAAAGACAACTATTTTTTAATCGCAGTTTTGTTTTGATTCAGCGAGCGTCAACCAAAGTATTGTCGGCTAAGTTGCCTCTCGGTTAATAATACTGAACGCTCAAATAACGCTTTTGTCAGCTTCTCTCGGTATTTTTGATAATGAAGTTGTACATCAGTCGAGACAAATGAAATATTTTAAGACGTGATTTTCGTATTTTTCAAAGTAGTTTCTTTCAATGCTGTGCTTGCCTGTTTTGCAAGTCATGCAAAGCTCTGCGTCGCCTGTGCGTCTTGAGCTCGTTTCTTGAAGTGTTTGTTACACAATCACTAACTTTAACTCTAGCAACAGCGAATTAATTAAAGACTAAATCTTCGGAAAGCTTAGTATTTTTTGCGTTTTTTTTCAGGAAAAAAAATAGGATTCATGTCATGCTGATTTTTTTTTGTATAGCACTCAGCGACTCTTATTTCTCGAGTTTTCTTAATTTTGGCTGCTCCAAAATAAGCTTACGGGGGCTTAATATGTATTAAATTGAGGTCCTTCGACTCAATGCTTGTTTTTTATTGGGATGTATAATAATAGCGCATACAAGAACAAGAAAACAAAAAAATTCTTAATTTTTTAAGATATTTTGTCGGCGGAACTCAAATAAATTTCCGAGAATTTTATTGATAAATTTTGGTGGATGCTTTGCCGTTTTTACTCAAGAAAATAATTAGTTTGAAGTTGTTTACCCTTGCGAGAAGCAAGTGTGTTGGAACTGGGTAGTTTTTCCCGAAGATTTTGCTTGTGAAGTTTGCGCGTGTTTTTTTACTTCATAAATTCAAAATCCATCAGCTATCCAGCGCATCAGCATCAGTGTAAAGGTAAGACACCTGCGTGATACGTGAATCCGGCAGGGGATTTTTTTTGCAAAATAGAGTTCACGGACTCGGACTCTTCATTCGAAATCAGTTCAAGCAAGTGACGTCCGAAGTTTTCCTATATTTGGCTAGTGTAGGTAACTGAGGTCCATGATTTAGTATAATATCAATTTGTTTTTTTTTTCGCGCTGAAGGTTTCTTCGGTTTAAATGGTGTCCGCCTTTGTTGCATCGGTCTAGCTGCCTCATTTTTTGTTTTCTGGACGCTTTTTTAAGTCTATCTGCTGAAATTTTTCTGTGCTTGGGTTTTTTGGATGCAGAAATTGTAACTTTTTGATCGCAATCGATTAAATGAGCTAATTTTTTCATGTTTTTTTGTTTTGTTATTTTGATAGATGATGAATGAGGTTTGAGTTATAGATTATATCCCAAAATTTCGAATGCCCTAAGTCATATAATTTTTAAAAAGATTTTTCGAAGGATCGGCGAACAGTTATAAGAATTTCCCAAAGTAACCGCATATTCAGTTACGTAACTATTTTCTTACATTACGATAAAAGTAGAATTGCCTGCCAACCAGCTGCGACTAAAAGTACACCCATTTAATTACCCTTGCGATACGCAAGGGTATTGCAATCGGGAACTAGACTTTTTTCGTCCACAAGATCTGCACTTCTAGAGGATGTTCACTTCTTGAGGAAGATGCCTAAGTAGTATCTTTCGCTGGACGATACTTAAGTAGTAGTTAGTTTAAAACCGTTTTAGGCAGTAATTGTCTTTTAAAAAAAATTTTCAATTTTTTTTTCGTGTTCGTGGCTTTCGTCCTAGTTTCTGTCGGTTCTTTTTCCGTTTTTTAAACGCAATTTTTTTATCTGGTTAAGTTTTTACTGGTTTATTTTTTAAATTTCGGGTTTTGTTCCAATTTAAACAGTTTTTACTTAAACTAGAACTTCGCAAATTTGTAAATTTACCATGTCTGATTTTGAGTTTTTTTATTTTCGTTTTTTTTAAATATTCAAACAGTTTCAGTTTACATTGTATCGACGTAGTCATTTTTTTTGCGTATTTTCGAGAGCAAAAGATATCCGTTTGGGATATTGTGTTTCAGTTAGGATGGGTCGTAAAAACTTTTAATTTTTATGAGATTTTTTATGACAACAGTTTTGTTTTCGGCTCAACAGTTTTCGATCCAAAGTTTGTCTCCTTTGTTGGCGCTCGGTAAACTTTTTCCATTTATGAAGGCCTGTTTATGAACCTCATCCGACTTCCGTTGCTTCTTCCTCTCCCGATTCCCAGCATCCGATAAGTAAAACTGTTTTAAATTATGTAGCTGAACAGTCTTTGAAAAACACTATAAATAATAATTTTTAATAACAATTTTTGGACAGGTGTAAATCAAAATGCCAAGATTTTTTTTAATTGCAGACATTCTTTAAAAACAAACTAAGACGAAAAAAGTTGAAACTGATCAAGCATTTTCAGACGTTTCAGCTATGATTTTCATTCTAATGTCGTTGTTCGTCGAGTGTTAAACTTTAAATTTTTAACAACGACATGATTACCATTTAAATTTTTAATGAATAGTGATTACTCTTGAAATCTAGTTGGCTGAAAAGTACGTTATGACAGCAAATTCAGTAACTAATTTTGTTTTGCAGTCTTTCATACAAAAAAAATTAACCATTCATAGACGCGGCAATTTTCAAAGAAGCAATTTTCAAACTTGGCAGCTTCTGCTGAATTTTTTGTTCGCACTACCCCCATAAAAGATGAGAAGGTAGATTCTTTCACGCAGAAGCAGTTGTCGCAGAGAATGTTTATGAGGCATCGAAGGTGATATCATATTAAAGCCCTTTCCTTCGTTTTTCGGGTTCCAGAAAGAACTTAAAAAAATTGTCTGTCCAGAATTTTTCGGTTTTCAAGAACAGCATTCACAACTAAGAGTTCAAAACATGACGCTCCCAGTCTTTCTTGAGCTTTAAGCTATTTTCATTGAGTTCGACAGCTTATTATCTTTTAGTTTTCACATTGACCTATGAAAACATTCGAAAAAATAATTTAAATTTTTTTTTCAAAGACTACAAGAGTCGGAAGAATATGTACTATTACATAGCGACCTGTTACCCCTGTTGTTACATATATATATTTTTTGTCGGAAATATTGCGCAAGTATTGCATACTTTGTATTTTGTTTCATTTTTGCTCCTTGAACAAAATGATTTGGTCTTCGTTTTTGTTTTCATGACATGCTATGTGGGTTATCCTTGTTGATTTTTGTTTGCATCTGGTTTGTTTGTTTTTATTTATCTTGGATGCCATTATAACCAACAATTGAGAAGCAGCGGAGCGATAAGACTTTTTTCTGATTTTTTCAAAATCACCTGTTGTTGTGGTTCGAAACATATCGATAGCAAAATATATTTACATTTTGGTGTTTCGATTTTTACAACCGGTTGCTATAGTGTCGAATTTTCTTTTGTTTTAAATAAAAGCCAAACTGTCGTTAAACTCATCCTAGCGAGGTTAAATTGTCATCTAAATCTGGAAAAAAACAACTGTTTTCAATTTTAACATTGGTTTTCTTTGGCGCGGTTGCATTATTCTCAATTTAGAACCTAGCAATTGAGATTGGTTTCGAAATGGAAAATTTGCTGTCCATATTAGTTATTTCATTGTTGGCCTTATTCAAAGGTAAGAGTTTTGGCTAAATCAATGATAAATGATAAGGACCTGAAATCTATGATTTCAAATCTTGATTAATAATTGGAACAGTTTTCCCTATTTGAAAAAAAGAATAAGACGCTAAAATATCAAAAGAAACAATTTTTGTCTCGATCCGAGAATCTAAAAATTAAATTGTCAAGGTAATTTTTTTTTTATAAATCTGAAGTTCTTTAATCAAATTATCAATTGGTTTTAAAAGGAGTGAGTTGTCAACATATATCATAGGTGCAAGACAAATTATTTAGAAGACTTTGTTTTCTTTCCAGGTAGCAATGGTCTGAATTGTCTGCAGCAGACAACAGCCCAGTGTAGCGAGTGGGGTTGTGCCAATGTCAATTCAACGGACTTCACAGCCACTGCTTGCGGGACATTAACGAACGACAGATGCAACACACAGCGCAACTACCAGACTAATGGTACGATTATTATAAGAACTACACTGCTGATCTAAAATATCCTGTCACACTGGGGAAAAAACAGAAATTTTAAATGCGTTTTTTTCTTCAAATTTTGTCAATTGCTAACAAGAAATTAGAAAAAAGAGCTGTCGACAAGAACATGAAATTTATTTGAAATTTCTTGCAGACATTGTTTTTCAGCTGAATTTTTTGGCTGGATATCTTTCACTAAAGGTTCTTTGATGTCTTTCACTGCCCTTTAACGGTGCAAAATGCACTAAATTATCTAAGCGATCCAAGTTTTGATAAATTGTGTGCATTGGCGCCAAATACTTTTGAAACGATGTCGCAAGAATGGATGCAGTAAAAATGGCAAAAGCAGAAATGGAACTGTAAAAGTTTACCACCAGAGTTTTGATGTATGTAGCTCAGAACACAGTGGATGTGTACAGTACCCTGACTGAGTGTGCGGATATTGACAAGACTGGCTACTACTGTGACTTCAGCCAGAGAGACGCGGCACAGTGTGACCTCTACTGCACCACAGACAACTGCAACGACCCTTACCGTTAGTTACTACAGAATTACTACTTCAGTCTGATTGAAATCTTTTTGAAAAAAAATGTCCACATGCAGCTTAGATATGATCGCGCATGTATTTCACAGGAAAACTACAGCGTATAAACTATTTAGGTGGTGACGGAATTTCAATGTTGGCTCCTAAAAACCTACATGATATGTATTTTTTTGTAAGCAATTATTCCAATTTATTCCAGAAAAAATATATATTTGTAAGCGAGAGTAAATTTTCTCCAAAATGACCAGAATCAATCTATATGATAGTTTTTGCGACTAATGTGGAAAATTTTGAATGTTTCAGAGCACACCATAACTACAATCAGTAAGTACAAAAACCATCGTTCATTTCAAATTGTAGTCTATAAAGCAAATACACGGCGTTGGCCATAAAAAAAACAATATTTGAATCTCTGGGCGATTCTTTTCTTCTTAGATTGTAAAATTGGGCTTCTTAAGATCGTCCAGTGAGTGATTTTTTTGAGAAATTAAGGCTTTCAAAGTTAAGTTTTGAAAACGCAAAACTGATGTCGGAAAAATGGCCACCCTTGGAGCTCACTATTCCTTTTCTGCATTTATCAATCATTGTTAGCTTTGCAATTGAAAATCATCAAGTGTCAACTTGTTTATAAGGTACCATTTTAGTTCAATAAAGATACTATGCACGCCATTTTATTACGTTAGCGATAAGCAAGTGTTATCAAATCGGAACATAGTCTTTTTGAGGTGAACAACTTGTCTGAGAGAAACATTGAATCTGCTGATAGCGTCATTTATCACAAATTAGAGTTCCTTTTTTTGCACACTAGGCCCTATGTAACGTTTATGCCTGAAGTGACAAAGTTCCTGGGTTTGCATCCGATGAGGACCTTTTTCTGCAAATTCAAAATTTTTCCGTTTCCAAAATAACCAAATGTCAGTCAATCGTTTGTCTCCTTACGTTTTTTAGGGCGCACAGACAATTCAGCCAATTTGAAATTCAGACAATTCAGCCAAAAATACATAGACAATTCAGCCTGAGACAATTCAGCCTGTTTTACAGAAACGCTAGATTCGAAAGAAAAAAAATCAGAATTGGAGTTATTTCTCGTTTTAAGGATAACCGGCTCTAAATGTCGTATAGAGTCCTACCCTCTGTTGGCAAGCTCGCAAAACGTTAGCGCGACTGCGGCGGTCACTATTATTGGCTGAATTGTCTGAATTTCAAATCGGCTGAATAGTCTTTGGCCGAATTGTTTGGACGCGTTTTTTTTAGCTTAGTTGCCACCGCACGTACTTTTTTTTAAAGAATAGAGCAATTAAGCAATTATCACAATAACTGAAAGTAATTTTGATTTGCTTCTGTAAATGGTAATTTCCGAACGCTGATTTTGTATAACTTCTTTTTTTTTCTCGTTTGAAAGTTTTGTTCGGTTTAAATGATTTTGGGTTATAATATATAAGTTAATCACTTGATATTGCATCGTTTGAAGGAAGAAACAGATTTTTTACATTTTTGTTGTTGTCGGATGCAAAATTTTTATCACAAAAGTTATCGGCTGTCGGGCGTTTACGAAAGTTTTGTCGACTTAGTTTCAGCTCGATAAATTTTGGTGAATTCGTTTATAAAGCTGTAGCTTGATATTTTCAGCATGTTGTCCTCGGAGTTTGCTGATATATTTTTTCAGCTTTTAAGTGTTCAAGATTTTTTGACAGGTTTTTTTTTTAATTTTAGAATTTGTTCACACTCAAATTTGATTTTTCGTTGTTTAAGAGTAAGCAAAGTGATTTAAGAGTTCTGTTTTGTTTAAGAGAAAGCAAACTCCGCTATCGGATTATCAGATAGCAAAAGTGTCAAGATCACGAAAAACATGAATGACTTTTAGTTTCAAAAACGGATTTTTTTGCTAAGTTCCCACCGGAATAAAAAAATAACCCGTGAATCCAGTTTACCCTCAATTGGATACCTTGAAAAAAGTGCCAATTATAATTAATTTTTTCTTGAAATTCGAAAGGCATCAAGGTCCCATAATTTTTCTTCGCAAAGTGAAAAATTATCAATTATCGTTTTTTCGATTTCCTTGTTCTTTTACTTTTTTTCCAATTATCTGTTGGCTATGTTTTTTTTTCAAGTATATTTTCGACTTACTGGCTTCCGCTTGTTTTTCTTTCCCCAATGCTATTTTTGTGTGGTATCGCCAGTGGTGCCAAAATTGCGCTTTTCCTCTGAGTGCATTGTGTTTTTAAAATTTCAAGCAGTTTAAAAACATACGATGATTTATTATAAAGTAGAATCATTTCAATTCATGAAATTTTCTCGAGAAATTTTTTTTTACCACCTAGTCCAATATGGCGCCAATTTTCAGACCCCACCTCGTGCGTGCAATGTACAAGTGAGGACGACACCAGTGGCAACTGCTACAGCAGTCCACCCGGCGCCACCACCTGTCAGAACTCCGCCCAACAGTACTGCTCCACGCTACACTCCGTCGTGCTGGATCTGAATGGGGCGGTGTCGCACAACATCGTGTTTCGAGGGTGCTCTCAGTACAACCACTCGGACGGATGCTGGGCCGACACAACCCAGCTGACCAGCAATGTCACAATCGGAACCTCAGTCACTTGCTCCAAGACATGCGACACTGCGGGATGCAACAATGAAGGTTGGTTTTTAAAACTGATCTATGCCCATTTATCGTGCAGAAATCACTCAAAAATAGGGTGAAAATTGTGTTTTTATTACCCTGGCAAATGGAAAGGGCTTTGTTTATATATTTCTGTCTACTTTTGGGCGCTAATTTTGTCCAATTTTATAACATGATTCAAAATCGGTCGAAAAACGTTCTAGTTTAGCGACAATAGTAATCTGAAACTTATAAAAAGAAAGTTTTATGACTGTCCTGGGAAATTTTACTGTGATTTGTGATTAGATCTCCCGAACAATAAATGAGTGTCTCTTACATCGCGTCTTAAGAGCTTAATTGTTTTTCTGTTTGCAGCCCTGCCGCTGAACCTGAAGGGGAGTGGCCTGATCTGCAAGTCATGCAACTCGACCCACGGTGGAGGGTGTGGACCGGCTGACATCAAAGACATGACCTGTCCCGCCGGCAGCAACTACTGCTACACCAAGGTCATATACACAGACGGAGACTACTATAACGGTTAGTGGTGGAGAGGCTCAAAAGTTATGATAGCGAACATGAGTTATGGCTCTAAGTGAAACATACAAATCGGTCAAGCTCGCTGTTCAATAGAGTATTTCGAGTTTTCGACTACACTTTCTGTACCTTATTGGCAATCTTTTCTCAATGTAAATAATGGCAATCGATGAAGTTCAGAATTGACCAATTTACGAGCCGTTCAACCTTTATCACGAAAAACAGCTGTTGTGCGCCTGGTTACATTTTGCATGAATTAGAGTGGTATCCGTTGAATCTTCTTCTTATTAGCTTGAGTATTTTTTCATTCTCTATTACAATTTAAACTTAAAGATAAAAATCTAATTTTATTCAAAAGCTGTTCAAGTACAAATATGAGAGAGTCATTAGGGAAAACTAGTTTTGGTCTTTTTTAACTGCTCGCCTCATGAAATATGAAGAGCAGAATAGCCATCCTAGAAAATAGTGCGATCCAAATTAAACAGAAAAGTCCGAAAACTGAACGTGTTAAAGTCACTATTCTTATAGGTTTTGTTGGACAAGTGGATCAATTTAGGGGGGAGGAAGTTCACTTGGTTAAAAGTAACATTTTTCAGCCAATCAGATTTAAGCGTAATGCATGCAGGCCTTAGGGCTTGAAATAGCCCTGTAATTTTAGGGGAGATTGTTCACATGGGCCGTTTTGTTTTTGAAAGATGTAATAAAAATTATTCAGGAGAGAGTTATACATATACAATGAATTATACATATACAATAAAATATTTGTCTCGCTCAAATAAGTTAATGAAACTGCTTGTACAGAAAAACTCACCAGGAGCCATGCAAAAAGCTATGCCGCTTATCCTATAAAGTCATTGTGTTTTTGTTGTGGCTTTAGAGGAGAACGATGCGACGACGTTCAACCACGAGGTGCAGATCATCTACGAGTTCAGAGGCTGTGGCACCAGTGCAGTCACTTCCCAGTGCACCTCCAACCCAATCACCAGTGATGTGGCAGGGAGCAACCTGGACGTGCACTCGTGCGAGGAGACATGCACTGGACACAAGTGCAACACCGATTGGCGTGAGTAGTCATGATTTTAAATGCCGAGTTGTTGATATTAAATTGGTACATTCCATAATTAGAGTGAAGCTTTATCTATCCTAAGCTTATGCTAATTTTGTTTCTTGCTTATGATAATTTGATATAAAATTTATGAGGTCTTAATGATGTGTTGCAGCCACTCGTCCTCGATGCTCGCAGTGCGATGGCTACTACTGGATGGGAGGCAGTCTCCTCACAGCCGCCTCCAGCAGCTACATCACTCACTGCAAGAACACCCCACCCCCTCCCGAGAAGTGCCCCGACCCCTCCTACAAGTACTGCTACGTCTCTGAGAAGTACATCGCAGATGGCGACAATGACGGTACGTTACACCACCCAAGGTTCTTCACTTTAAATTAACACAATGACCAAAAAAATTATTTTTGAGCCGGCTGTCTGCTTTATTTTCTGTATATTTTGAATGAAATATATTTTTTTCTGCTGTGTTCATTTAATCATTAAATGCACAATGTGGTGATTTTTCTATAGAACTGTCTCTGTGATCAATCAAGGTAACATCTCAAAATATTCAAGTCTTGATTTGAAATCTAAAAATGCGTCGTTATAAGTGTTCAGAATTGGAAATTGTTAATTCAGACCTGATACTTTTGTATATCACTGCGTGTTTACGATTTAATGTCTCTTTCCTTTCTTATTGTAGTGAAGTGGGGCTACTCGACTGAGTTCCACCGGGGCTGTCTTCGGGAGAGTGACTTCAGTGCCTGCAAAGACTACCGCTGGAGGGATGAGAGAGAGGCGCACTACTGCCAGTTCGTATGCCAGGAGGACGACTGCAATCAAGGCTAGTGTTTCATACCTCTTCTCTAGTTTTATGGTTTAATCAATTCGCTTTACATCATAGCTACGCCATAACACGGGCCTCTCATACCCAACATATAGTTTTTTGCATCAATTTATATTTTAAAAAGTTCTAAACAGCGGCTTTTTTTCTAGAAGATGGGTTTTTATCATGTGAAGGGCCTACAAACAATGTATGAAGTAAAATTTGGTCTTTGATTTGATGTTAGTTAACAGACATTTACTTGTTTCAGGATCACCCGCCGCTCACATCGTGTTGTCGGCTGGATCCATTGTCGTGGCGGTGGCCTCGTTCATTTTCACACACCTCAACTAAGCCGGAACTGATAGAACCGAACAGGATGCTTCCGAATGACAAAACCAATATGACGAAGAAGACTCGTACCTTCAGTGATTGTATATTTGGTCAAATCTGATTGGTTTTCGACATGGCTGATTCTGTTAGGTTCACACTTTCCGCCCGAGCTGAAGACTCGATTTTTCCTGCAATTATTTCACAATTAGTTCACTTCCGTTAATTAGAAATTGTATATCATGTTCTGTATATACTGTAATAAATGCATTGGACAAAATTTCATATCGATTGTTCGAATTGTGCATTTAGAACACCTAATGCATAAACATCTGAACTAAAAATCAAAACCATTTATGAATGTAAATAATATGGAAATGCAGCGCCATTCAAATCTAACAAGTGATTGAGAAACTATTTTTGAAATTAAGTTTTCATCGCATTTTTTCAAATTTCTGAGGTCCAGTTATTGCATACGTTTGCGAAAGCAGTGTCTTATAATAGTACTATAGTTTTTTCTGTGAACAATTTTGTAATCTAATGTTTTTAATAAGCAAGCAGATTTTGGTTTATTTCCAGATAAGCAAGCAGACTTTGGCACTTTTGGCTTATTTCCTAGCAAAGGCATTTTTGTAGCATCGATTGCTGTTTTATTGCAGGCTAGTGTTAGCTTACTTCTAAGCGATCGTTGCTTATTTTCGCCTTTTCTTTTTTCCTTGTTTCACTGTTTTTTGAATTTTTTCAGCTAATTTTTACCGTTTTCTCGCGTGGGTTAGCAAAGCTCAGCTTCGCTTTTGTGTTCACCCTTGCAATAAGCAATGGTATTGCAATCGGGTACTAGAATTATTTCCCGTAAATAGTTTTGCTCACTGGACTTATCTGGACTCGTTTCTTGGAAGCCTCTATTAGCAACAAATTTGCCGCTTTAGATATGTTTTGTATTTGGTAGCAATTTAAATTCTCTGCCCTATCCAAAATTTGCTTTTTAGGTTGGTTGTAAGTTTCTTGCAAACTCGATTGGCGTACACTCGCGTTATCAAAATCAGAATGTAGACTTTTTCCGGGTTAACAATTAGCTTAACAAAATCAGGTGAGTAACTTCTGATGCTGCTATGCAGCTGACATGCTCATTTTCATGAAAATTCCAATTTAACTACTGGATGGATTTAAGTAATTACAGGGTAGATTCAAGGGGGATTTTTTTAGAAGTCTTTTAATTTATTAAAGTTTTTTACTAAAACTTGTTAAACTTTCTGTAAACTTTTACTTAAAACTTTTAATTTTTTTAAGTTTTTTTTTTCGAAATCTGTTTTTTTTTCGGTTCAACTGGTGTCTGCTCAAAAATAATCGGTCTTTTTTCCGCTTCGTAAGTGTTGTGCAGTTGATAATTTGCATTTCAAATGTTTTCCATGGCATGTTCGCCTAGAATTCTTGTTTGATGCAAACAGGTATTATGAAATTGTATAGAGTTGGGTTTTTTGAGACGCTTTGCAATTTTTTTCTCAAACCCTTCTTCCAATTTTCAAAAAGTGGTATATATAGAAAGACCGCCTACTTCTTTGTGTGCCTACAGACTCTGGTCTTTTTTTGCTTTAACCCTTTGTGTACAGCCTTCGAGAAAGTCTGTGTGGGGAGTATTTGACCAATATTTTTGATTTTTTTTCGTTTTCTCTAAAACCCACCTACGAAATCTGAGATTTTGATTTATGAACAGAACGGATTCAAAGGAATCGCCTACATGAGCGGCTGCGCCCAAACTTTTTCACTCTTAAACTTATAGCCCTCGGAATAGTCAAATTTTTGATTTTTTTTTACCGTTGTTTGAATCTTATAATTTCTCTCAAAAGTTAAGCTCAATGGAGATAACGGTTCAATGGAAGTAACTGGTAGTGGGAAGATAACCTGCATGAACGATTGCTAATATATTTTTACAGAAAAGAATTCGGAAAAGATAATTTTTTGATTTTTGAGCGTTTTTGTTTTTTAATTTTAGAGTTTTACCGAAAGCTGCTCTCCCATATTTTAGATTTTGGGTACAATACAAAGAACGAGTTGCGAGAAGCTATTCTGAATACGGGAGTATGTTCAAATTGTTGTGACACAAACAGTTATGGCCATCGGAAAAGTCAAAGTTTTGATTTTTTGACCGTTTCTTGAAAATTTTGGACGTTTCTTGAAAACTACCCTGCCAGTTCTGGGTTTTTCGATTCAATCAAAAATGGGGTTGAGTGAATTTCTTCTGCGTAAGCGGCTACGCACAATTTCATTTTTTCAAAAAAAAACTGATTATGGGAAATTCTCTAAACTTTTTGATTTGGTGACTGTTTCTTGGGCTTTTCTCGATAACTATCATGCCAAATCTGGGTGGTTATAAGCATACCTTTAGAATTTGTTACCTTTTCTTAATCAAAATATAATGGCGTTCAAACAAGTGAAAATAGTGAAACTCCGTTTTTGGAGGTTTTTTTACTCTACTCGAAAACTACCGTGTCAAATCTCAGATGAAGTGTTCAACCGAGAAATCCATTTTTTTGAGAATCTTCTCTTTTTTACTGGCCAGGATCTGCTTTTTTCAGAAAATTGTTACGGATTTTGGAAAATCAACTTTTTGAACTTTGACCGGTTTTTTAAAAATTTCTTGAGCTTTCGGTTAGCAAGCGTTATTAAAATGGAAAATACTTTTTTGGGTTAATAACTTGTTTAACAGAAGCACTTATATATTGTTTCATAAGAATTCAAACTTCGATGCGTAAACATCCATTTTAGCCTAGAGTTATTGAATATGCCATCGACGGCAAAGATCCTGGGTTCCAACTTGAACAGGAACTGTTGTTTTTCAAACCGGAAAAGTTCTCTTTCAAATGAAATTGTCGGCCTATTATTTGTCTGCTAATCTGTTGTCGGCCTAGTTGTCACATCTTAGAATCGTTTTTTTTGTTGCTGCGCGGTTTTTCTTTAATGTTGCTTTTAGTGTTTGATTTAATCCTACAAAATGTAATTAATTCACTTACGCCCATTTTTATCTGCTTAATGACCTAACTTTGGGTCATTTCTATCCATCGGGTTGTTGAAATTGCTTTTTTTGGTTATGGAAAATTCTACTGATTTCCAGTAAAGTGGTGTCAATTGAAAGACCGCCTACTCTCCTGGGAGCTTGCTTACTCCACTAGAGTCTCTTTTTACTCTACACCTCTGTCTACAGCCTTCAAAATTGTCTCTGGGTGAATATTTGACCCATATTCTTATGGGGGAATATTTGACCCATATTTTCGCTTTTCTCCTTTTCCCGAAAACTGCCAGTCTCAAATCTGAATTTTTGGTTTCAGTGAATAAACTGGCTTTTGAAAATTTACCTGCACATGCGTCTACGCCCAAGTTTCTTTACACAAAGTTATGGCCTTAGGAATAGTCAAATTTTTGATTTTTGACCGTAAGGTGATTGTTTTTGATTTTTTTTTCGAAAACTAATCTCTGGGATCGGATTTTGCGGATTTTGATATTGTGAGATAACGGGCAGTTGGAATTTCCCATGCCTTAGCGGGTACTCGTCAAAATTTTTTACATGTAAAATATCGCCCTCAGAAAAATCAAATTTTTAATTTTTTCAATTTTTTGAATATTCTCGGATACTTCCCTGTCATGTCTGAGATTTTGGATTTAATTCAAAGAACGGGTTAAGAAGTTATAAAAGTTTAACTGCTGCGACTAATCACAAATTTTTCGCCCAAAAAAATGGCCCTCGGAGTTTTTTTTCTCGAAAACTACCCTCCCAAATTTGAAATTTTGATTTCAACCGTAATTACGGCTTGCGTGAATTTTTTCTGCATAAGCGGCTACGCCCTAGGTTTAGTCACAAAATGCAATCATTCTCGGAAATGTCAAATTTTTTATTTGTAGACCATTTTTTGAAACCTTTCTCGAAAATTACCCAACGAAATCTAAGTTTTTGGGTTCAATCGAAATTACAGCTTGCGTGAATTTCTTCTAAGTATGTCTACGTCGTTTTTTGTACACGTAAATTTGCGATTCTTTGAAATGTCCATTTTTTTTTTGTTGACCGTTTTTTGGACTTTTCTCGCCCGCGACTATCCTGCCAAATCTGATATCATAGGTTTAATCGAAACAACAGGTTTTTCAATGCCTATGATTATAATTGGCTATGCACTGTTTGTTGAAAAAATTTATGTTGCGTTCAAGTTAGGGCCAAAAGTTTTTGAAGCTTTGACAATTGTTTGAAAATTTTTTGACTTTCCGCGAACTTTTTGATTTTACGGAAATGTTTTTAACTTTTTTTCCCGCCAATTCTCATGTTTTATTCAATCGAGAAACCCGGTTTTGTGACTCGTTTCCGGTCAAGTGGCCCTAACCTGCTTTTGCAGAAAAACAAAGACATGGTTTTTAGAAAGTTTTTTTGACCGTTTATTACATGTTTTGACCTTTTTTTGGAAGTTTTTTTTGAATGTTCTTAAAATTTACTCAAGCAAATTTGTGATAAAAAATTCACTTAAAAAATTAGCTGCACTAATTATTTCTGCAAAACCGGCGACTCTTCTTTTTTATAGAGAAACTTTATCACTTCGGGAAACTTGATGATCTCAAAATTGTATACTTTTCTCACGTATTTTGGTGGATAAATAACTCAGGTTTTGGGCAAAGTCCAGTTTTTGAAGTCACATGTTTAGTGCTGCATCAATTAGCAAATTCATTTAATGTCAAGCTCGTACCTCCAGCTCCGCTGGGTCCCTATTTGTTTTTCATCAAGACATTCGGAAAAAAATTTTTTCTGTTTGTTCTATCGCAAGTGGTGCGGAGCTCCGCTTCACATCTGTGTTGAATTTCTAATAAAACTATCCTATCAAATCTGAAAAAAAAAAAATTCAAGCGATAAAAGATGTTGCGAAATTTTTGCTGCAGAAGCGGCTGCTCTTTATTTTTTTTGTAAGAGAAAAATTATGTCTTTGGAAACATTCCATAATCTCAAAAATGTTCTCTCTCACTTATTTTAGTAGAGAAACAACTAAAGTATTGGTCAAATTCCAATTGTTGAAATGCCTTTTCGTCCCACATGCATTTCAACACATCAGTTGTGTTGAAATGCATTTCGTCCCACATCAATATAACAAACTCAAAAAATATCAAACACATACCTCACCTAAGCTGGGCCCTAGCGTCCTTTTTTTCCGAGACACAGGAAAGTTTTAATCAAGTCGTTTCTTTTTCATTTTTTTTCGGTTTATGCTTTTTATAATTGTGTTGTGTTTTGCTTCACTTCGCTTCTGTGTAAAATTTCTTTTTTTGTTGTTTTCTTGTTTCTCAAACAGTATTTAATAATTTTTAAGAAGTTTTTAAATTTTTGAATTTTTTTTCGGCTTTTTTGTTTCACAAGTTTTCTGCTAAGGTCTTTTCGGCTTTGTTACCGTTTGGTAATTTTTCTTCCGATACTAGTTTCGCAATCTACTTTTTTGGCATGTTTTTGTTTTAAAATTAGCCTTTTTCATTTCAATTTTTTTTTCGATTCAGCGCCTTTCTGGTTTTGCAACGCAAGTGGAACCAAGCTCAGCTTCGCCTCTGTGTTGAGTATGTGATTTTCTTTCCTTCACCACGCAACTGCTAAGTTTTTGCAGGTGCAGCTATTTATGTGCTCCTAGATGTTTCAAGTTTAATTTTCCGGTTCAAGGTTTCAGATTTATTTTGTCGTTTCCTGTGCAAGTTCGAAAGATAAGGAAGGGCATCGGAACCGGGTACTAGATTTTCCCCCTAAATAACTTTGTTGACAAGATTCTTCCCATGTGGACTCATTTCTTTGAAGCCCCTTAGCAACCAATCTACCACCACTGATATATTTTAAGCTTGTTGGCGTTTTAAATATATGTCCTATTCGAAATTTTTTATGCTGTTTCTGATTTGACCAACTCGATTTGTTTGTTTCATTTTTGATTTTTTTTCTTTTCCTTTGTTCGGCTTGATACCTTTCGTTCTATAATATATTGGCGTAAAAACATTTTGTGTTTGTGGTTTGAGGGTGAGAGGGGCTTAATAACTTTTTAGTGGTCTTAATTTTTTTTTCTTTGTTTTGGCTTGATAAGTTTCGTACCGTATTATATCAACTTAGTGATCTCATATTGCGTCGTTCGACGAGCGAATAAGTTTTGTTTGTGTGTGTGTTTTGAGGGTGATGGGAACTTAATAGCTTTAAAATTAATTTTAAATTTAATTGTTTTTTTTTCGGCCGAATAATTTTCGGCCTGTTCAATATCGGTTAGTGGCATCATATTGCGTCGTTCGAGGAGCAAAAAATTTTGTGTGTGTGTTGGTTGAGGGTGAGGAGACTTAATAAATTTGTATGTCTTGTTGAGTTTTTTTTCTGCCAAAAGGGTTTCTGCTAAAGTGTTTTTTGGCTTTGTTACTGCTTGGCAATTTTTCTTTCTATGTGAATTTTACGGTCTATTGTCTTGGTTTGTTTTTAGTTTCAAAATTATCCCTATTCATTTTTATAGATCTATTTGTTTCGGCATTTTCGATTTTTTACGACATAGCCGCTTTCTTGTTTTGTATCGCAAGTGGTATAATTATTGGCTTGAATTTTTGACCCATGGCCGATGAAATTATGAAATTAATTAAAAGGGTTCAGCCGAATACAAATGTAAAGACATGTTTTTTGGCTGTTGAAAATCAAAATTAATTTAAGGTGTGTTTGTGCCGTGGAGCTAGCATGGTAAACTTTATATTGGAATTTGAATTAGTGGACTCAAAATTGTTCTTTTGCAAGCCCATGAATTTGGTTTTGTACTGTTTTGCGTAAAACTACAGATTAAGGCGAAGACAAAGTTACTAAGCCTGGCTTCGCAAATCAAATACGACTAATTTAGATGAATATGAAGCTTTTGTTTCCTAAACAGCACTGCCAGACAATTTACGAAAATCCAGCCTACATAACTGTTAATAATTACTTCATGTATCAATAGGGTTACTGTTTATTTTTTTGATTTGTCGCATTGGCGACAAAGGCATTAAAATTCCATACTTGTCGAAATTAGTCGTCTTCATCTTTTGACGCCAGGCCTGTTCATTATTTCTTTTTTCCCGCTATTTTTAAGCAAAATAAATATCAAGCCAAATTCATTGGCTCCTCAATGAACAGAATTTTTCTACGACAAGAACACCTCTGAAAATAATTATGATGGACGGAGTAATTAACAACTTCAAAACAAAACTTTTTAATTTTTCATTCGGGCAGTTCCTTTCAATTAGTTTCATCGCCCATGTGATCAAGTTTTAACCCAATAGCTTATTTAGTTGCTGAGAAAACGACAAAAATGTTCTCAAATTTTGAAAATCGTCTGTAATTTTTTAACTAATTACTCTGTGAGCAGAAAAATTTTTATTGGTAAAACAAATTGTGTCTCGCAGATTTTCTTTGTCAATGGCATCTGAATGACCCAAAATTGTAAAACAAATTGCAGTCTTTTATGAAAAGCATTTTGGATCTCCTTAGAAGGTCTAACGAAAAAGCTATGATATAATGGAGTTTAGTTTTTAGGGTCATCTAAAATTTAGGATCATTCAAAATTTAGGGTCATCTAAAAGCTGCTGCAGTTTAAAAGTGCCAAGGGAGGGACAACTGAAACTAATTTGACAAATAGATTGGGGGTTGTTGTAAACTCCCTTCCCGGTACAACAATACTGATGTAAAAAAAAGTTATTTTACAAGTTACCAACATATTAATTACAAAATTAAACAACATTAACATAAAAATTCTTTTGCTTCTGAGGTTGAACTACACTATGAATACAAAATGTCTGAATATCACTAAATCAAAAGTTATCTTTTGATGATGCCTGTATTTACGCGAATAACATAGAAAACGTGATGCCAGATTGTTTTTCATAACGTCTTATAGTATTTCTAAGTTTGTCATGAGGATCCACTAGACATTGAGCCTGGTCAACTGTGAAATCCATTAACGAGGCCATTCTTTTTCTTCAGAGGCTGAAATTATCAGAAGTTATTGACTTATCAAACACTAAGACTAATACGTACAAAAAGAGTTTGCAGGCTAAATTAAGTAAATCTAGTACTTTCAGCAATCGAACTTTTTGAAGCTAAATCTCATAAAATTTATTGAAAAGGGGATCTTCTGGTGAAAGCTCCATATACATTAACAAATTTTTTCTTTTGACTTCAGTTTATATTAACGTATACCAAAAAGGTCGTATAACTTATCATTGTTTGATCCGACTAATATAACGCATTATCGTATATTTTGGCTTTCGTATAAAAAAGGTACAACCGTACAACTTGAGATCAAAATCTTAATTCAATTACAGAGATCGCTCAAAGTTTTTTTAAATTGTTTTGCTGCTCGATAATATTTTTTTGCCGAACAATCTCTGATTGCTATCAACTATCCAAAAACATTTCATGTTGGACTTGAGCCGCCCCTAATATCAATCAATCACGAAAAAATCCTTGTCTTACAAAAAAAAGCCGCCAATCATTGTTCGGTATAATCGTATAATTTATTGTATAAATCGGATGTCTCCTATAATCTTATATCGTATAAGGGTTGGTTGTATAGTTTGTCGTATAACGTGTACAAACACTGGTTGGCTTACTGATCTGGGCGGAGGAGTGGCTCCGAACACTGCTTGTTTAAGATGGAAGGGACAGTAAATCTGGTCAGCGTGGAACCCAACGTCATGCGGACTAAAAGGAACATAATTCAAAGCAAAAAAAATAGAACAAAAAATAACAAATAAATTATTTGATGCGATTGGCTAACACTGTCTAACAAAATCATGGAAGCATTTCGGATGTTTGCTTTATTTTTATATTCACATCTTCCTAGGAACCCTTCGGATAGCGGTAGCGGTTGTGACGACAAATTTACTTGATTCAAGCCCGGCAAAGACCACTTTCGTTTTTCAAGCTAGAACGCAGGCAATCGAAGATTGGAAAAGAGTAATGAACGCAATATACATAAAAAACACTGACTGTATTGAAAAAATCTAAACTTTCGAAAAGCGAAGAAAAAAATAGATGCCCTTTAAGCTCTTTTAATTTCTAGAACGATTATGATTGGCGCTTTTTTGACAGCATTGATGCATTGAGAAAACTGGATCAACAGGTGAAGTTTTTATTCCGCTGGGAATCTAAAACTTCAATTCCACTTTCGAAACTAGAAATCGTTCACGTTTTTTCGCGCCATTTCCACGTTCGTATTTGGAGAGGGCTATTTACGTCACTTTCAGCAGATGAATTTCAATTAAACTCAAAAAGTGCATATATACCTAACTGCATTCATAAATGCATCAATGTGTATGAATGCACATCTGTAGTTGTTAGAACGCTTTATGAATTTTTCGTGAAAAAAAATTTAAAAAATATTAAGACCTAAATAAGAGTTTACACTACGTTCTTTACTCTTAAAAAATTATGTTCAAGAAAAAGTGTCGGCCTTTTGTCTGTCTGCTTTCTTCTTATCGGATGAGTTGCCTTTTGGTAGAGTTTTGTATTTTAATCAATTTTCATTTCAATTAGAAGTCATTTTGAATTGTTTTTCGAATTTTCTCTATGATTTATTAGGTTGAAATGGGTTTGGCATTTGTTGGATCGGTTTAGACGCCTTATATTTCGTTTTTTGAAAGAACCTTAGATTTTTATGTTTCCCGATGGGAGGATGATGAAAAATTTTTAGCTGAAACTTTTCTTGAAAAGTTCTGTTTCGGTTCAATTTCCGTCTCTCTAACTGTTTTTGGCTTTCTTAAAGCTCAATAGTTTGTCTGAAATTGTATTAAGCGCTGTTGATCGTGTTTTGCAACACATTTTGCTCAAATTGGAAGTCAATTGCGATGAAGTTTTTTTCAATATTAAAAAAGTTTTGTTGTCTAAATGGCTTCCGTCTAATTTTCTGTCCTGGGATAGAATCTGGCCCAAAACCTTTTTTTTACATGGGAGTTAATCTGTTTCAAAAAATTGCCGGCTTTTTATTTTTCTGCTAATGTGTTTCCGATTTAATTGCCAAATTTTAGAATTTTTTGCTGTGTGTAGTTTTCATTGTAGTTTTTATGTTCTCATTTACTCCTACAAACCTACAAATTGTAATTCTACTAAACTTAATTTTGTGTTTTTTCTGTTTTTTTATCGCTCACAAAGTTTTGGCCTGAATGAATTGGGCTGGTTGTTTATCGGCTTACTCACCTAATTTTTGGTCGTTCCAGGGAATTAAAATTTGTATGCTTTCCTCCCGATTGCAGAAAACTTAAAACATCTCAGAATAGAATTTATAATTCGAAGTCATTCATGACAACAATTTTGTTTTTGCTTGATGATTGGTTCTTAATTTTCATTAAACGCCGTCGAATATGTTTCTGAACTTGTCTTCAGCAAATAGTACATCCTTCCAGACAACGTTTTGAAATTTTGTAGTTGTGTTTTCTTCGAGTTTTTTTTTTCGTTTTCTTAGTATTTAATGGCTCTTCTTTCCTTTCCTGTCTGTTACCTTGCAATGCAGTTTTTGTGGCGTCGAAATTAATGCGAAGCTTTGCTTCGCCTCTGTGTAAAATAAAACTGGAAAACGCAACTTTGGAACACCCGCGGAAAATTTTCCAGGATAGGCATATATATTGTCTCCTTAATGTGCCTATCCAAGAACCAATGTGATTGCTTTCTGGCGAAGTCACAACTTTGGTAAAAAGTGATTGTGATTTGCAATGTCGTGGTGATGTTTATTGTTAGTAATACTACTGTTAGTTTTTCACTCGAATCGTTGAAAAACCGAAAGCAGGGACTGCAACAAAACATCTTTCAGTTCATGACAACTATCCCCCTAAACCAAAATCTGAGGGTATTTCTAGCACTTGCTAATTTTTAAGGGCAAATGTACTATTCCGTTGATACAACTCTCTCAATAACCGAGAAATGGTTATAAATGTTACTACTCTACATAGACTATTTGTTAACTTATTCTACTCGTGCTCGTAAATTTTACCATTTATGTTTTTAATAGCTCAAATCCCAAGCTTAAGCAAAAATCAATTATATACTTTATAGAAGAAACGCCGATTTGCAAGTTCAAATAAATGTTCGTTTGGTTTTTTAAAACAAACTTAGTTATTGTTTGTAGCAAAAAACCAATAACAACATTTTTTAATCCGCCCTTTGCTTCTAAAATGAGGCTTTTGTTCCAGTCCACACGTGCTAGAGGGGTGTGGGTGAAACTTTTTTGTTCAGCCCAACGTAAAGTATTTTGTTTCGCCCAATTTTACCGCAACTCTAAGAAAGTTCCTGCTGGTCAAGTGTGCTATTGTATTAAACTCCTATATGTTATGATTATGTTTATAAAAAAAAATCAATGTTTTTAGCGTCGAGAAAAATAGATCAGACCAATTTTTCGTAAATCAGATTTAAAAAGTCACTCTTTCGGAGAATTAACTCCTAGCAGGATGTAACTATTGCCCAAATTTAGTTTGGATAGTTACTGACTGTTTTATAAATGCAAAATTCAATAGCCGATTTTTTTTCAAAAAATTTCCAAACAGCGCTAATATGTTCTTAAGGTTTTTAGCAAAAACTATTGTGACCGGTAGGATTCTGAACTACTGTTGCAGAGCAAGCGCCTTCTCTTGTTAATACTCTTACTATTAAGCTGTATTCAAGTAGAAATATTTACAAAAATTGTCGGTGAAATCGAAAGGTTGCAATGTATTTTATCACTTCTATCCCTACCTGACAGTCTTTCCACACCAGTTGCAATATACACACTCTCTGTGGTAGAACTGCTTGTCTCTCAACTGGACTGCCTCCACATGGAACACTTTCTCCTCACACTCACAACACACCAGTCCACTCTCCTCAATTTTAGACTGGATTCTCTTTGATATTTCTCCGGGCTCAGACACCTGCAAAATTAATTGTCCGCATATAAGGCCTCGAACTATGGCTGCGATGGTGCACGGGTCGTGAAAGCGTTGTCGCACTCATTTTTCCTCACCCTCAATTCAGATGTGCAAAAATATCATTTTATGGAATCAGTTAATCGTGAAAAATTTAATTCTAATGCAATTGTTAAAGCATGCATACTACCTTGCGTTCGATTGTGGGTTCCTTTTTGGGTTTGGTCATTTTGTGGAACTGTTTGAGACGACCATACACGCCTCCTATGGTCGTTATGGACGCATGGGTTCCAGTCGAAGGCATCAAGGATATGCTGTCCGCGTCTGCCTAAAATTTGCAGTTCTTCAAAGAAACCAGTAAATAACTTTCTTAGTTTCGCAAAATTTAAACGGTTTCTGCAATAGAGGTGTTTTAGCAATCTTATCTCTGAAATTGGAGCAAAAAACTCTGAACTTACTTTGATTAAATCTTGTAGTAAATCTTCACTCGTGTAATCTCTAAACAAAATGCACACGGTACTGCAGATATCACCAAAACAAAGAAGGAGAAATTGGATTCTACCAGAACACAAATAAAGGCCTCACTCTAATTCGTCCATTTTGTCTGCGAATCGCTTCCGTTTTTGGATTTCCTCTATCCTCTGAGAAACTTCTTTCAACTATAAAGAACAAAATGCCAAGTAATATCATTGAAAACGTCAAGGAATTTGCTTTCGCGGCGCCAATAAATACTAATTTAGAGGGAGCGGGCAACGAAAAATTCAATCTTTCGTCAAAACCATCCAAAGTGTTTTTTTTTTCAAAAACTTGGATTGACGCGCGAAAAAATGGTCAAAATACGGTCCTTATTGCGATTTGGGAGAGGTCGGAAAATTATCGATCGGAAAATTATATTTGATCGATCTAAAAGAAGGATAGATCCTTGATCCTACCCTGAAGTTGCATAAAATATATTCGGAATATTTTAGACAAGTGGAACACCTGTTCAGCTTTCAGGAATGACAAGTTCCCGAAATGAAGGGCTTATTGTTCCGACTTTCGATACGAAAGTAACGGAATATTTGTGCTCGGGGTGGGTTTTTTTTTCTTCAGACAAATTTCGACTTTTTAACTAGCTATTTTTGACGGAATTTTTTTATATCATTCAAAAGGTATTGTTGTCCTGAGCTCAAATTTGAAAAAATATTTCACCTGTGATCATTTTTCGTAAAGTTATGGGGGTTTAAAGATTGCCATTTTGGCCAATTTGGGACAATTAACGCGCGATATAATTCGCGCTATTAACGCGTAAGCGGAGAGTTAATCCGTCTTAGAAATCGTTCCAAATTGGTTTAACGAAGCTTATTTGCCATAATTGATTTGTTACAAGTAGCGAAATCTATCCTTTTGTACTTAAAATGACGTGTGGGGGGATGATTTTTATTTAAAAAAATTCAAATTTTTGAAAAAAAATTTTCATTTTGTTTTAATACTTTTAATTTTTTAATGATATTACTGCTCCATAAACCTTAATGGGCAGTCGGAACATTCAGGGCTTAGCCCTGATACGAGCAGTCTTGTTGTTCCGACTTTCGGTACGAAAGTAACGGAATATTTGTGCTCGGGGTGGGTTTTTTTTTTCTTCAGACAAATTTCGACTTTTTAACTAGCCATTTTTGACGGAATTTTTTTATATCATTCGAAAGGTATTGTTGTCCTGAGCTCAAATTTGAAAAGATATTTCACCTGTGATCATTTTTCGTAAAGTTACGGGGGTTTAAAGGTTGCCATTTTGGCCAATTTGGGACAATTAACGCGCGATATATTTCGCGCTATTAACGCGTAAGCGGAGAGTTAATCCGTCTTAGAAATCGTTCCAAATTGGTTGAAAGAAGCCTATTTGTCATAATTGGTTTGCTACAAGGAGCGAATTAGATTCTTTGTACTGTATATGGCGTGTGGGGGGATGGTTTTCATAAATATATTTAGAAAATTGTTTTTTCATTTTTTTTAAATTTCATTAAATTTTTTAATTTTATTACTGCTCCATAAACCTTAAAAGGCAGTCGGAACATTCAGGGCTTCGCCCTGATACGAGCAGTCTTGTTGTTTTTGGTATTGAAAATTGCTAAGTTGTATTGTATGCCTTCTAAGAAAATCATAGCCGTTTTTTAAAAGTGGGAACAATTACCTCGTATTTTTGTTTTTTTACTTCTATCTTGAGGTCATACTTTTCTTCTTCGACGGATGTCAGTCGCTCGTGCAGTTCAGCTGCTAGCTGACTTAATTTGGCTTTACCTGAA